AATAAAAAAACTAATTCTATTTCTTAAACCGTGGAGATTTTGAAGTCGGTGTAGAAGGACAAAGTGTTTAGAACAAAATTCTAAACAAAGAGGCATTGGTGGACAACCCAAGCAGCATAGGCAGGCTGATAGGTGCTACCGTGTGTATGGCAACAACGAGCAAACCGACAAGCGACAAAAAGTTGGCAGGCTGCCAGCCCCGTGTGGTTCAAGGTCCGCGATGATTGGAAAAATTCTAGCATTTAAAAGTCGGTTACGAAGCGATAGGCAGGCTGACAAGCACCCACACACAAGCCTGCACGTGGGTCTAGACCATCCTATAAAAAGCTTGCGAACTCTTCTTCATCTCCAAGGCATTTCCAATACAAAGTTTCCCTTCTCTGGGAAAAAAATTTCCCTTTTCACTTTCAAATATTGTATTGAGCTAGCGAATGAAATTTTATCGTCACGAACCAATTTCTAAGTCTATTGAAGCACTGTAAGTTTGTATTTTTTTTGTAATTGCTATTGAACTTTTATTAATAAAATCTAACTTAGTCTAGTTACAATGATGATGATGATTATGTATTTGATGATTTTATGTGTTGATATATTGATGTCCTTCTCATATTTGAGATTATGAATTGTTAATTTGACATGGGTTAAGATTCGGAACTTAGAATCAATGAATTTAATTTTATCTATTAACTAGTAATTTTGTTAATCATTAGAAAATGAATTAATTTTGATTAATTAATAATATTCTTTATAAAATTTAATGATCTTTGAAAGTTAATATTTAATCTTTTCTATGAAATAATAAAGTTAATTAACCAACACGTTCCAAACACCTAAAAATACGTAGAGTTATACACTTATAATCATTTGGAGTGGTTTCAACGAATTATAATATTAAATGTTTTATTAATGAAGTTACTGGAACCAGCGGAGTTAAAAACATTAACAAAAGCAACAAATGAGGGAATATGGTTGAAGGATATGGTCAAAGATATAGGCTTACATCAAGATCAAGAAGTAGTCTAGTGTGATAGCTTGAGCGCGATTTTCTTGACAAAATATCAAATCCACCATGAGGGAACAAA